CGTTGGCCAAATGCGGATTGGAGGGTATTAACGACTGCAAATGCAGCCCGAACCAACGGCTTAACGTGCCTTCCGAAGCTCGAGATAATAATATTTTTTGTTGGTCACCCATCCTGTGACCGACCCTTGTGAAAGTTGCTTAACGACTACGATCGCGGGCCGCGGCGCTTATCCACTACGCCACCGAGCTACTCTTCGCCTTTCGTTAATCGGTATAAAAATTTACGTTGAATTGAACGCTGTCACACCAAAGAAGCGTAATCAAATCAAACAGTTCGTAAAAAATTCATGTCTCAATTAAATAAGACCTTTACTACCTTTTGAAGTCAGTTTAAGCTGTGTCGTCGTTGTGTTCAAACGTTGCATTCCAAGAAGATTCAATATTTGTAACCTTTTTAACCGACTTCAAAAAAGAAAAAAAGGTTCAAAGGTTCTGTGTTTGACGTGTATGTATGTTTGTGTGCGATTATGTCGCGTTTGGCTGAACCGATTTTGACGCGATTTCCAGAAAAGCATTTTCTGAATTACCTTTTATATAAAAAATATCAATATCAGTATATTTTTTATAAACAAAATTTCGCTGAAAGTTTAAACCACGTTTGGAGTGATTTTCTACATATAGTCATGGCTTTCCATTTCATTTAGTTTATTTGTGTTAATGTACAGTCATTTTATGTTTACACAGTTTACACATACGTATACAGTAGTTTAAGATGAATATTATTTTTGTTCATTTATTGATTTGCTACCACTATTAGCGCCTTTTTATGTCAGTGAAATTTTGTACATTTTCATTGCATTAGCAGCGTAGGTATAATGATTTTGAGGGGTAACACCATAGTGATATACATACTACTAAAGTATAAGAAGTTAAAATAACAAATGATGGTACACAGAAAAGGTGGAAGATTTCACGCACCACATTCAGATAGAGAAATGGCAAAGATTCTAAGGTGAACTTCGGAATACGGCTTTGGAAATAACAGCGGGTAGATTTATTAGCTTTTTATTCGTATTCTTTCATGTGACTTACATTGGAATTATTATTTTTATTTTAGTCGAAGACATAAAAAAAATCATAAACCTTATTTTTAAAACTATAGTGACGGTAGCGATTCATTTAAATTACAATCCAATCCTGAATGGGTACATTTAGAATAATTAGGCAACATAATCGGCCAATTAGCGTTATCCTACATAATTCTAAGACAATAGCTAACACGCTTCTCCAATTTCCATAGACATGCCACATAATAGTTATTTAATGGAGATGTGATAAAAACCCGCGTTCATTCATATTCATTACCGCAATTTCCACATGCAATGTCTTCAGAACCGGTAAGACGGGTGCCCCTGTGGACATTAACCGGTAGTTATATTGAGGTGATGGTCTTCAAGTACTTTTGAGTAAAGACAATAAGATAGATATCGTATGCATAAAGCTTATTATTAAAGTCATATAACCGGTAAAGGTTTGTCAATCGATAAATCTTTCTTATAAGAGTGCGAAAGTGTTTTAAAACATTTCGAAATCGGGGGTTCTTCACTCGAAGATACGTGATTGTGGCGTATATAGTGTACCGTTATGTTATAGCTTTTACACTTTCATTGTTGATTTTTAACATGATGGGCTCCTTAATAAATAATAAATAGGTAGATAACGGGGATTAACTTTATTACCAGGTTTAAAACATTCACCGCCTAAAACTAATGATAAAAAAGAAAACGTCGAATTGAAAAATGTTTTGTTTTAATTTTTAGTCTAATAATGGTACTAAAGTAAGTCCTCGTTTTATAATAAGACATAAACAGTGTTATTTATAAACAAGGTTTAGTGTTAGAGTATTTACGCTGAGACCGCACTTTATTTGGAAGTTTTTTGGACTAATTGCAATTTTAGAGTAAATTTATTCTGACGCTAAACCTTATTTATTAATAGTACTGAAAGAGTTTTATTGTTTTCATTAGAGATGTGGCTCACAAACCCATTTCAAGGTTTTTCTATAATAAATATAAAAGTAAACAATATATAAATTCAGTGGCCAAAGCACTTGTATTACGGTAATCTGAAGAAACGAAAGTAGCACAACACCTAGTCCCGAGGCAATTTAGAAAAAGACATTTTCTGTATTGACCCCACCGAGAATTGAAATTGGCGTCATCTTGAAAACGGCGTACGAGCGAAACTTAGCCACGGAGGTATGATATAATTACGTAATTCGTACCTTACTTCTCTGTATATTAATATACTAGCTGTTTTCACATGACTACATCCGCAAAATTTATAGCCTATGTCACCCGTGTATGATGTGACTTCACGAGTGAATTTATGAAAAGGGTTGGTAGTAGCCTTTTCAATACAATCAATAAACTCTATCTATAATATTAGTGTAGATAAAAATCGCCGGCTTAATATTAATTATTAATAGTCTCAAATTTATATAGAAAACGTATATGTTAATTTCGTTCAACTACAATCTATTGTTTACATTAAGCTGATTCGATCGCGTGTGAATTGACACAGTATGGTTAGTATGTGTGAATAAAGAAATGTCATTTTTCATTTTGTGTAGAACAATGAAGTCTCACGGAAATTACTTAGTTAAACGACTCGGGTCTAGTTCAAGAGACAAGTTCAAATAAGAATAGTTTTTTAGTTGTCACCGGACATTGGCGTGTTAACTACGGTCTATTATCCAGGTAAAATACCCGAAACGTGGGTAATTTTGCGGTTATTTTTCATTGATAACGGTCGTCATATTTAAAAAAGACGAATAGGATAAAACAGCTTATTGGATCATGATCATTAATAGTTAGGAGTCATACTTATTAACCAAAATGAAATTAGGGGAGATAGGTCGGCCATATCTTAGTCTTATAAGAGCGAGAGAAATATGTTATTTATAATCACTTTTTTTAAATAAATACTAAAAATAGTCATTTATTTTTAAATAAAAACTAAAAAACTAACATAGTCTTTAAATCTCTGGATTTTCATTTATGGATTATGAGGAGGAGGTCGTGTAATTCTTATTTTTACCCGAGTACGAACGCGAAGCGAAAATGAGGGTTATGATTTTTCTTATTTAAGGAGGTATCAGAAATTGGCATGCTTAATATTATAAACATTGGCATGATTTTGAGCCCTTGATGATCTTTTATCGTCATATACGTCAGCGTGCAAAAGAAAAAGTAAAATTTAAAAAAAAAACTGTTTTTTTTTCACCGACATGGTAAAATGAAAAGTTAAATCTAGTAGCACTGATAAATAAAGTGAATGAACCGACTGCCCAATTGGAGGTCAACGTGTTCATAGGTCCGTAGTAGTTTTTTAAACAAAAAAAAAAAACAATTGGGTTTCAAATACTAATCCAACCTTATCGTTTACCTTCGTTTTTTTCCTGTATTCTAAATCCTTAGAGATAACTTTCAAAAATCTGTCTGCATCCATAATTTAATAGATAGTAAGTATTAATTTATGGAACTATTCACGTTCGAATGAAAGTGACAATTATTATCATAAAACTTTCACTTTATATAGCAATCCATCGACCAACACTTGTGGGCATACTTACGATTTGTTCATAACAAGCGTCATACATATTTATCGTCATCATCTGCCTACTCTGCTCCCGGTCTTCGTGGGTGTCCACTCTTTGCACTCTTTCTGACAGCTGTCATCACATCACTTCATCTGTTAACTTTCATTTCATGCCTTGTCCTCGGTCATCATCCTGTTCTCCATCCATCACCATATTTATTACAAGTATTTCTTTAAGTTGCAATTTTCCGCCAAATTTGGCAATATCTTTTTTAGTTCAGACAAGATTTCCACTAGCTTTAGCTGCGTGATTAACACCATGATTTAATACTTTTATCTAGCTTACCGTTTAGTGGGCTCCTATTTTTTAAATCATTCTTATAGTAAATCTTATACTATCATCAATCTCATCCAAATTCGTTCATTAGTTTTAAAAAGTTGGTAATAAATATCGTTATCCTCATAAACTTTCACATCCACAATATAAGTAGATTTCTTATATTTTTCTATATTTGATTCTCCAGCATTTGTGTGCCCTTTTGCAATTATTTATTTGGTTGTCTAATATTCATCGATAGTTCTCGATTAGCTGTATTACATTTTTTACGCGTATCAATTTTCAATATGTATTTGATCTACTTATACGAAAAAGCTTTAATGGGCATAAATGTAAAGCAAAGGCAAAACGGGGCAATTACCTTATGGTGGCATGACCAACAGCTTAATGTGCCTTATAAAACACGGAGGAGATCGAGACTAGATAATAAATGTTTGGTCACTCATCAAAAACTGGCCCTTGTGAAACCACTGAACATCGTAAGTCACATACCGAATGCTTTAACTGCTGTGCCATTTAATTCCTCATATACAAAACCTAATTGAATTAAATTAAATGCTCAGTGACAGTGGTTTTGCGTAATGGGCAATGAGATGACCGGTCCGATTCGTTGTGGCACATGGCATGTCCAGTCGACTTTGCGTCCGGTCGATGATGCAACTGCGGCCTCACAATTCGACATCCGAGCTGGTAGACAAATAGGACAATGTCGATTTTGGATGTTGATGCTATCTACTCATTATGAAGGTCGCAAAAGCATATGCTAAATAGCATTAATTGAATGAACTATTTAGTGAAAAAAAAATTCATATGGTTTTTCTTTGTTACAGGTGTCCGAAGATTTGCCATCAGTAGCCATGTGTCGAATGAAGGTAGAAACGTATACCTTGATCATACATGGATGACAAACAGGTCAGCTCATTCAGGTCAGCAATACATTAATAGATTCTTTAATGCTACATTTCTCTCACTTTCCCTGTTGATCATTAACACACTGTATTTGTTTGTGGCTCCATCAAATAGATAGCCTATTTTATAGATCCAGATTATTCATAATTTAAAACGCTTTGAATTTACATCTCATATGCGCAGATGCATGACGTGAGCGCGTGAGTCATCAGGATGTCGCAGTCAGCGTTAGGACTCGGCGGGGAGCGGCGGTACTCCGTGCCCTCGAACCCGCTGATGCACGACCCCCGTGGCATGCACTCGGAAGATCTGCACGCGTGGTCCATATACAGGTACGTTGATGCATGACGTGAGCGTGTGAGCCATCAGGATGTCGCAGTCAGCGTTAGGCCTCGGCGGGGAGCGGCGGTATTCCGTGCCCTCGAACCCGCTGATGCACGACCCCCGTGGCATGCACTCGGAAGATCTGCACGCGTTGTCCATATACAGGTACGTCACAATATGACGTCACAGCAGCAATTGAAGTTATATCTTGGAAAAGAGAACAACTACCTTATATCCAATGGGGTAAGCAATACATGCATCTTTGGCCTGCAAAGTTCAGTGTGATCAATAACTCAAGGCACAAGGTCTGATGTTAATAACGCCTTTATGGGCCAACTAAAGTTTAAATTATAACTGTTGCAATTGACGAGTGGCACTTAGCTTTATAAGTAACTAGCTGACCCGACAGACTTCGTCCTGTCAAAAAGATTTGTAATGTGGCAGTTTTTTTGCCTACGTATTTAAAAAAATTCTGATGCATTTTATCTCGCGTGCCGAAACTAATACAAAAGAAACGCGAGTTTCGGAACGCGACATTAAACTCCTCCAACTATGTATTCTGTGCTCCAACGCACACACGCACATTGTTTTGATAGATATGATCTTTGACGTTAGGAACACACCTACATTGCTTAGACAACAGTGAGTGCTTGTAATTTAATATGAACTTTATACCATAGCAATAAAGCTCAAATTGACTACGTTTTAGTTACAAATCATTTGTATGGGAAAAAGAAAAGGGCTATTTTTAGGGTTTTTCCAGCAATAATTCAATTTTTCTCGCCGTAAAAACCATCCTTGAACTTCAACGAACATTTTAAAAAAAGATTTGGCCAAATTGGTCGAGACGTTGTTGAGTTATGCGCTTACCAACACATTTTGCGATTCATTTTTATATATATAGATTTAATAAATACATTTTAGGAAGGAGTTGAACATAGCAACATGAATGCTAAGTATCTTATATATTGGAACACCACATAATAGAAGCAATGATAGGAGGCATAAATACGAAATGATGTTACCATGGCTAATACGAAAACTTTGTATTGCAGGCAGAATCTGAATTCCGACTTCACGGATAGTGCTTTAGGTAGTACTGACAAGAGTCCACTTCCTTACGGCAATTTCCAGCTGCGAGATACCACGGTACAGTCAATACTGTCACATCCTAGATATGGACCCAAGTAAGTACTTGTGCTACACTTTGTTTATTATAATTGTTTCATCTCGTAATCCAAAAAAATGCTGAAATAAAAAGAGTTGTATAATACACACTTACACTCGACCCATATAACTAGTGAAAGCTATCTCAATCAAGTATCTTTTATTGCCTTAATCAGCCAAAGGTTAATGAATACCGTTTGATATTTAAGATCTCAATACCAATTTGTAATCGCACACATGTGGTAAATAAAGTGGTAATAGAAAACAATCACTGGCGTGGTTGTACTAGTTTAAATTAATCTACGAGAATTTTGTAAATAAATGAGCAGACAGTGCTATTTTTTATTTACGACTATTTATTGTTTATAATGTGACATCCTTTTCTTTCCTTTATCTGAAGCTGTTCTTTTCTTATATCTAAGACCAGGAACTGTGCAATTAATCTGAAACATCTACAAAATATGAACTTACCTTCACCTATTCCTTTTGATATCCTTCAATATTTGTTTTATTGAATAAAATAAATAATCGAAAAACTTCTTGTAGTATTTATTCCTTTAAATTTATAGATCAGCACTTGGTTCGAATATGTACACGTATCTGAAGTTCGGTCTGCCACGAGTGTTTCCACCCAATCACAACGGTTCGCAATGCTCCGGTACTCCCAAGCCCAAGACTTCTATTGGAAGTGGCATGAAACCAGTTCCCAGGTAAAAAAACCTGCCATAATTATTAAGAATTCTTACTACATTCTTACTAATTACATTCTTTTAATTTCAATATAAAGTCAGCTTTTAATCATTCAGGGTACAGCTCTAAAGAGCTCAAGAAAAGGTTAAAGGCATATTTTCGTTCGTTCGTATGGGGGATTCGCACAGACCTCCCGCATCTATGCGGATCCCCCACAGGAAGCGGGAGATCTGTGCGGTTTATTTTCATTGATTTTTTATTTACCGACCTAGGAACATTTTAAATATTTTCTTGAATCATGAATAACGAATAGTTATACCAATCACTAATGCATTTAAATAATTTGTTTTCATAGAATCCACCGTCAAAGTCGAGGTTTAAGAGAAACATCATCAGGTTACGACAGTTCAGACAACGAAACTACCACCAATTATAAGTACAGTCGCAAATACCGTTCCGATCCAGATTTTCGAATGCAAAACTTACACACATCACATCAGGTAAGGACTTTGTAGCCTGAATAAAATGATTGTAATAGACTCTTGTTTTAATTTAGAAATTTCATCTGGCGACTGAAATTTTGTAACTTTAATTTGATCTGAATCCTATTTCCATGTGCGTCCGAAGGTTACGGAGGTTTGGTCTGAATGATACCTTTACTACTTCTATTAGGATATCGTATAGTTTGGAACCAATTTTACTATCTTATTGCTTAAAATGTATAATATTTCATCATCATCAGCCTATTAATAGGACATGGATATGCTGATGAACCTGACCCTATATATATAAAATTTTTCCACTCTTGTAGCACGGCACGGGAATTCCTGTAGTTGCTATGCAGCAAGCCGGCATTAGAGGCGAGGGACAGTGGACTAATGCCCGGAATAAGTCTGTCAGTGAAGCCAATTTATTGGGGATAGACGCCAGACCACCACGGAGCCATTACAACAGACGGAACAGTGTTGCAGACTTTGTGCCAGATAATGATCACCATAGGTACGTACATGCAAACACATCACGATATCTTTAAATAATCTTTGTTAAGTTCTGATACAGACTAATAGTCAGAATAAGCATACAAATGGTAAATAATGGGTATAATAATATCATCTAATCTTAGTGAACGTTCTAAGGTTTTTATCAAACATCTTTATATTTTATAAACTTTAGTTTGATCAAAAAATTTTTACTACTCAATCTTCTAGTTTATGCCAAATGGAGCACTTAAGGTAAAAAAGATATCTGGTATTTATTTCTAGTTACTTGATGTCACCATCACACCTAGGCGGCCGCATGTCAAAAGCTGGAAGTCACGCATCTCTGTCACATTCTCGAAAGCACTCTACGTTGCGGCCTGCAGATCACCTAGATGGATATACACATTCCGCATACATTTATCCGAACTATTACGTAAGTAGCCTGAAATTACGAATAATAAATTCGAAAAGCTGTTTTTAAACAAAGTACTTATCAGTTTAAAAACCAAAGCTTTTCTGTGGTCTATGGCTACCATCTTTTTTTTCTGCAGTCACACTAAGTACGATTTTCTATTAAAAAAGCATCTATTGAAGATAAACTCCTTCAAACCTGATTGTAAATGTTTCACGATTTTTGTTATAATTCATGCATGTTGCTACTATACCGGCTCTTTTTAGGTACATTTACAGGTAATTTAACCAAAGTAGTTCTGACCTTCTTACTGAAATTGATATAAACGTTACGTTACAACGCTAGTTGTAAGTTCTAGGCTATATATAAGTAATAAGCAAAATGACCAAACCGGTTACTTACCATTTCAGGTTAATAATTTAGAAATCACCTCACCAGACAACAAGTCGACGTTACTTGTATCAGGATTAAGCTTTGAAGTAAAATCGGGCGAAATATTGGCGGTATTGGCTACATCACATTATGAAGCAACTGGTCTTCTAGACGTCTTAGCTGGCGTTAGAAAGGTAGATTAAGCAACATTTCATTTGTTTTTCGACTTGAACTTAAAAAGTATTTCATCTACTTTATGTTACTCAAAATATTTTTAAGTCATTCTATGAAATGGTCTGATATTAGAAAGCACGAATTATTCTGAAATTTCCAGAAATTATCTGGAGACATAGTAATAAATGGACAACCAGTGGCGTCATCGACCCTTCGGAAAGTGACGGCATATGTCCGGAACGATACGAACCTCTGTCCGTCCATGACGGTCGAGCATACCCTACGGTTTCACGCGAAGTTGAAACGACCACGAAATAACCATAACCAAGTCAAGATGGATGATAGAGATAGAGTATGTATATCTAACCTTAGCTTTTTAATACTGTTCTTTCCAGATTTAGAAAAGTTTATATTCTTAATTAATTTAATTCTTAATTAGAAAGAAACTATAAAAAAATTCAGTTTCTCAGAACTTGAGTAATTCATTTTGTTCGTAAGTTCTATAGGTTCGTTTTGTTATTTAACACTTTTTTTTTCAGAACCACCATTACTAACCCCCAACCCAAAAGTTTTGAGTTTTAGATTGACTTAACATTGATACACCTCTTACAGATAAATCTACTCATAGAAGAGTTAGGCCTAGAACAAGTAAGAGACACGAATATATGTCGGTTGACGAGATCCGAATTACGAAGACTAAACGTAGCATGTCAGCTGCTCCAGGACATGGCGATATTAATACTGGATCAACCCACCAAGGAGATGGATATATTTGATACGTTCTTCTTAGTGGAATACCTTAGGAACTGGGCAAGCACAGGACGGGTGGTTATAATGTCTCTCCACCCACCAACTTATGAAATATTCGCAATGCTAACTAAGGTAAACCGATGATACTTACTATAGGTGAGACTGTGTAGAATTGTTTTATTATAATAAAGGCCTTACTTCAATCTGAAAAAAGAGCTTGCTAGAGCAATAGTTCAGTTCACATTGTGGAGGTAAGACAATTTTCTTACAAGCAGATATATAGGTAACCAAAAATTTTTTGCTCGAACTTCTTGGTGCTTATAAATCTACGTAGCTCCCCCTGTACTTACTGGCAGAAGTTAAAAACACAAATTCGCATTGGGCATATCCATAAGGAAAGTATGAGCTCCAACAGTGGGGATATTAATAGTGTATGGCGGATGGTGATAACTTAAATATTCTGGAAGTTTTTTTCTGTCACATAACAAAGTATAAGAAGAATTTACTTTCTTCAAAACAGGTGGTGCTTATTTCGGCTGCCAGGACGATGTACAGTGGATATAGAAGAGACATGTTGCCATATTTCACTTCCATCGATTATCCAAGTCCCGCATTTAAAAATCCTTCCGATTACTACCGTGAGTACTTTGTCCGTTTTTGGTCAAGTTGTAGTCACTTTTCAAAGAAATTCTGATTAGAATTAGATAATGGCGGGAGTGTTGGAAGTATACCTATTATGTTAGATTGTATAAGACTTTTTTTGTATAAGAATTTCGATAGTTAGATTTTTCACCTGCCTATATTTCCCGACGTTTCGACCAGGTTACACCGGCTGTGGTCACTGGCTGACTGTTTTTGCGATGTTACGTCTCATCTTTTAAAGTGGCATCCACTTCTACCGTGCATTTTTTTCTCCAGGTACCGCCACACACAACACTAATGGTGTTAATACCCATCTTATACAATCTAATATAATGCAACGCGAAAGTTTAAAAGTTTATATACCTAATCCTGACTAGAAGTAGATAGTAATACACAAGTACCTGGCGAGAGTGTTGGAACTATATTATAGTGTGATAACAGTATGTATCTATATGATAGTGGACCTGGTAACGCTGGACGACTTGTCCGCGGCGGCGATGCTGGAGTCGTCAGGCCGCATCGAGGCGCTGGCGGGCGTGTTCGCGGGCGCGCACGCCCCGCCCGAGCCGCCGCCCCCCGTGCCGCTGCCCGCGCCCGCCGCGCCCCCCACTGTGCTGCACCAGACCTTCGCACTTGTAGAGTAAGCTCATCTCCTACCTAAAAAGATACCCAAGGATGCTGTGGCAAAAACGTTTTCGTCAGCGTGTCTAGTGCTGCATCATATTAGCCTATTCCCTTCCCAGCCCCTGAAATGCTTTTCCGGTAATCCATCGAGACACCGTCGGCTCATCTGAGGTGCGACCGCCTAACTCTAGCTTTGATTTCAGCCATAAGATACGTCATCTTGGATGTTATTACGATAATTCGTTTCATGTAACTTCTTTGACATGTCGTTTGGTGGATAAATTTGGGATACGGATTATGGATTTGATAGTCACACTGCTATCAAATCCATAATCATCGTTCTTTATCGTTCGTTCGTCGTTACTAAATTACATTTTAAAGTAGACTAGAGAGTTAAATGATCGCGCCTCTGTAGATATGCCAATAATTATTTAATTCTTAATGAATTCTTCTGTAGTACACTCTGGATTGCATCTTTACATTATATCCCATTAGTGAAACGACCCAATAGAACAGCAACAGATCGACAGAAGAGCATGAAATGAAGAGTTAACTCAAAATTTCTATGATATAGGATGAACACGAATTTTCATTTTGCAGGAAAAGTCTGGTATTTACTCAGATGACGACGCTATCCAATGTGGTGACGAGGATCCTACTCGCGATCATCATGTCTCTTGTTACGGGAACAATATTCTGGGATCTGCCTACTACTGATGCTAAAGTGAGTGCACCACGTAAACACTATGAAAGGCGTCAATCTGGGTTGTAAAAACTTGTGCCGTTCTGTCTATCCCAGCTCAGCCAGGGATTCGACCTGAAGATATATACATGTAGCTAAATATTTTAAATTTTATTGCGTTTTCTTCGTATTTTATAGAATAAGTTTACGACGTTGATAGACGTGTCGCCTGCATCTTTAAACTCCCGGGTTCGATTCCCGGTCCGGTATTTCTATAAGCTTGTCTTGGGTCGGAATGTTGTGGTACTGTGGTCCTCCATAATACGGGGGCTATAGCTACTCATCTTGGAATCGAGGCAATGTATGTGATATTCTCTAATATTGAGACGAAAAATTTAATATTTAGATTAATTTTAGTCGACCTCCGTAGCCGAGTAGTTCGCACGGTTCGCAGGTGTCGCCATCTCTGAGGATCCTGGTTCGATTCTCGGTCGGGTCAATATAAAAAAAGTATTGTCCCGGTCTGGATGTTGTAGTTGTCTCAGATATTCCATAATACGGGCTTTACTCATCTTGGAATCAGAGCAACGTATGTAGTATCGTAGCCTTCTCTTGTCATCATCTTCACATGGTAAACTTGATATTTTTCTGAATTATAATGTCTTGTCCTCCAGCTGACACAGAATGACCGCGTCGGGTTCCACTACGCGGTGTGCTGCCTGTCGCTGTGGCCGGTGCTGCTGTGGCTGGGCGCGCGCGAGGCCAGCTCCACCAGGCGGCACGTGGAGAGGGACATCGCCGTCGGCCTCTACTCCAGGACTGTCTTCATACTGTTCGACGTGAGTGACATATTTATGTGCCTCCGGTGAAGCTACTTGTTAAGCTGTAGCGAGGTGGCGTAGTGGACAAGCGCCGCGGCGGCTATCGTTGTTGTTAAGCAACCTTAGTAAGGGTCGGTCACGAGATGGGTGACCGGAAAGTTAACTCGAGCCACTTCGTAATTCGAAAGCCACGTTAGGCTGCGTTTGTATTCGTTAATACTCCAACGCATTGGGCCAGCGTGAAGGGTCATGGCCCCTGCAGTGGGGACGTAGAAGGGCTGACGATGATGAGAGGCTTCCGTAGTAAAAGGTTTGAACCGGATCCGCGGAAATTCCGCTGCCCATTCGTCTGTCTATCATACGGGCTGTATCTCATGAAACGTACACAGTTAAACAGTTGAAATTTGCACGCATTATGTATTTCTGGTGCCGCTATAACAACAAATACTGAAAAAAGAATAAAAAATATATATAAGGAGGTTCCAACAACAAACGTGATTTTTGCCCGTTACCGGTAGAGCACCTTTCGTGTGCGAGTCCGCATCGCATTTGGCGGGTTTTTGATCTAAAACTAGATAGGCATTTGGCCATTTGTAGGATGTTGCCTTAAATAGTTTTGCCAATCCAAATTTTTACTCTAGCTTTAAGAAACTGAGGTTGTATGTGAGTTGTACTATTTGTACATTGTTGTTGTATATTTCACGTTGCCTATTGACCTCAGTAGAGCATTAAAATGTGACGTCACAACTCTATTAGGACTGTATGCAAGCCCAACGTTTCCATAACGGTGGATCCGCCTTGAGAAGCATTTAACTTTTCTCTTTAGAATTTTGTTAAAGAAACAAAGCCTGTTAGCTTAATCGATAATATTTTTCAAAAATCATTTCTTATTTTACAGCAATTTCTGGAGTTGTGGTCGGGCGTGTTAACATGGCTGGCATATTTAGTACCCAGTTATGCCATGTCGGGTCTATACGCACAATCACAAGGAACCTTTGACGGATTTTATATTTATTTAGGTAAGTTACACAATATATTAATAATGTTTAATTATACAAATTTTACACTAGTAACATAGGTATACTAGTATTATAAAACTTCTTAATTCAACCACCCTACACAGGTCCGAATATACGTCTTCACGCCAACGCGTCTCCAACAACAATGGCCCTTAATTAAAATTAAAACTAGCAACTTTACCAACCTTACAGTATGACTAGTTAAATAATCAAATCAGCTTTTTTATTAAGCCGACACAAAATCCTTTTCCGTGACATTATTTTATCTTTGATAAATATACAAACTATTTAATGACACTCTGTAAATGGTTCTGTACTGTGTAATAAATTAATTTGTTTAATTAAAAACCATATTTTATCATTGCATTTTACAATATTACAAGTTTATTCTAATTACAATTAGATTGTCTTAGCCTATTCACTAAGGTTTTCTGTGATCTTGTTTCGATTCTCTATTACAGGCTACATGGTGCTATATTTAATCAGTATACAAATGCTGTGCCGAGCGTTGATATTCCTCGTGCCAATGGAAAGAACCTCAACTATATTCTCTGGTTTCTGTCTCCTGCTCGGCATTCTCGTCAACGGCGCTTTACTTCATCAAGCGGATCTGCCTCAGTATGTGAGGTGGTTGGAGTATGTTTCGCCATCTAAATGGCTATTGCCAGAATTGCTCAATAAAGAGTTGAGCGATACAGCGCTTAAGAACAGCATTAGTAAGGAGATTAGGTGTACTAATAAGCAGGTGAGTAAATAAAGTAAATTATGCTATAAGACCATAATTACTGGCTTAAATGGTAACTAACCGTAAAATTACGCAATCTATGCTATATATATTAGATTACCTGTCGTGTCGATTGTTCTGATCCTAAATAACATAAATTTTTGCACTTGTATTTATGCAATCCAAAACAATGAAGTTACCACAACACCCAGACCAGAGTCAACACAGTTAAGCTCAAATGAGTAACCGGTCGGGTCGACAGAAAATTTTTTCGACCCGACCGGTTACTGTCACGATCACAGTTCAGCAACGCAAGTGAGACAGCATTACTTGCATTATCACTCAATCCTGCTTGTCAGGATTCATCAGCCTTTGTAGCAAGAATACTACAAAGGCTGATTGGTTTCCACATGCGTCCCCAGTAGGATTAAAAAACGTGGATTCCAAAGGCCATTAAATTAATTTATTGATGTGTTTCAAACGCTCATAATGTTATTTCTAGACTTGATTGCTTCCATGTCCTTTTTCAGAGACCTTACCAGGACATAATAGTGCAATCACCCTGCCCACCGCCGAACGGAAAACAAGTACTATCAAACTTCGCTTACCTCGAAACCGACAAGATATGGGAATGGACAAATGAAGGCGTACTCGTCGCGTTAGCCATCTTCTACGGCGTTTTCGCTCTAGTCGGAATATTTGCCTTCGTTCTAGATTGCACAAAGTACATGAAGAAGAAGCATAGAGCATCTTTAAAAGGTCATAAAGTCACTATGAATACGCCTTGATGTTTATCATTTAACACTCGAGTATCAAATATCTGCCAGTATCTTCTGTTATCTGAAGTACCGCTCAATTATTCAAGTTGAATTTCGAATACTTAAGTATGTTTATACAATTATATGATTAAGTTTCGATATGAAATGAACTTTTATACTTACTTCATTTGGTATCTTAACATGTCCACATAACAATGTAATAATGATTTTGGTGATTCACAGCTGTTTGATATTAAAATCAGTGGTTCTAATACAAGTCAAAATATTTATCTGATGTCTTGCCAAAGGTTTTGAAATGTGAAAATGAAAAATTCTTGTAAGATTCTTATATCAGGGGCGATGTTTTATCAAAACAAAACAATTCTAAGACGGACACGAATATGGTGCATAGCTCCAACTCACATTTACTACTGCAATGCATATAAGGACGTAATCAAAATCCGGATAAACTTGAATTAAGTAATTTTTGGCTTCTGTTTTTTTGGAAATCTGTGATATTTTGTAAACTTTGCTATATTGCTGTTTAAAAAATCACAAGTCAATTTTATAGAACGAAATGGTTAATATTAAATTAATTTAATATATACGAATGTACAAAAGTTATAATAATACCTACCTTTATTGGAATGTAAGGCTGACTATGTAGTGTCTTCCGTTCATATCAATGTTATGTATAAGTAGGTACTTAAATAATAATTATATTTAGTTTTAGATAGGTATTATAAATATTCATTTTCAACAACACTTACATTTCTAAATTATCAGAATAAAATTTATCACAATTATATTTTAGCTCAATAAGTATTATAAACATTCAATCACAAGTTAATTATAACGATATAACATTCTTAATCGCATTTCACTAGTGAAATGCTATCTATTGAATGCTTTTTACACTTCGCTTTCTTTTCTAGATCTTTCAGGAAGAAATTATATAAGTAAGCGATATAAATAGTTAAATATATAATACAATTTAAGATAACGATAAAATATAAATGTAAATAAATAAACCTAATAAATTAATTTAATCATTAAATGCAGCGTTATCATCGTTAAAGTACTGCTTCATCACAATGTCTTAAAATTGTAAACAATATAAAGTATTATGTTAAATAGTCATTTTTTTTGCAAACACTGCCTTATCTGTACTCGTATAAGAGCGATCGAGTTTGTATGTATGCGGTGGTTTAACACGTTCGATAATTTGAAGATTTTAGCATTTGAAGGTACAGTTAACAGCGCAGCAGGTTAAAACTGATAAATTCAAATTTTAAAACTTTGTTGAAAGATAAAAAATTTCATTGTCATTTTATGACAACCTGTTGTTGTGTCCATTGTCCTGGGTTGACGTAGGATATTTGTCGTCCAAGTACCACGAAGAAGAAGTCAAGTGCAGCTACTAATGTATCAGACAATAGTTAATTGCAAATCAGAATTTACGAACAGGCAATTCTTTTTAGATTGTAACACAATGCCACTATTACGTCTATTAAATTAACTATTTTTATGAAAGTGGAGCCATATCACTTAATATATAAAGTTATTCATTAAGTTACCTTAATTACACGTGTCAAATAATAATGGTAAATAAAACTCTGTAACTAATAAAAATGTGTTTATTTCATGATTCCAACTGGTATGATATAATAAATTAACAATAATTTAAGGAGATTTCATTAAATAACATAAAATTGAACACTCCACTAAATAATAACAAAATAAATAATTTATATCAACTCCAAGTCTCATTATATAAAACAACATTATTATTTTTTAAGCAAATTTGTCAATTTAGCTTTATAATGATTTAAAAAAGGCTACTACTATAATGTACAAAACCTTTAATGATGTATTAGATAATGTCAATAATAAGAATAAACTATATCATAATTACTCTTTAAGACCTATACATTATTCAGGTACCCAAGTTTTAAAGTAGCTTAAGCATTCCAATAGATATTTTTATCATAATACAAACTGTCAAATCACAAGTTAAAAAGGATAAAAAATATTTGTTAAAAAGACCATCCCCGATTGTACAACGTATAGAAAAAATGAACTTTATGTATATGAATTTAAGGTAAGTTTTTTTCAAACATTTGTAATTTGAGGCAATTAACTACGGTTTCCCAAGGCAGTAATAAAAATGGCAGCGGGTGCTGAAACTGACGCTATATAGAAACACGATTATGCCATATTAAGACATCGGTATTCTCGTCACTGTTACAATTCAACCCCGCTAACATAGAAGACCGTAGCTTTACAGAACATCGAATAGTCCGACGTATAATGTCGTAAGTGTATTTTAACAACTTTACGGTAAATCTAAACAAAGAAAGATGGGACAAAACCTATCGCGGACATAAATTAAATAAAGAATTTATAATAGTCTATGCTACTACTTTGTTATGGTAAGAGTTGATATATTGCAGACTGTGCGAGTTGAAAAAAAAATATTACATGTTAAATTAGTAATTCTATTATATATTCTTTTATTAATTCTACTTTGACTAATGTTGGCGAGATTGGACAGTGGGATCGTATTACGATAATAGACAAAGATAATATTTTAGTTTCAATATTTTTTCCCATAGATTTTAAATAAAATAAATACATGTAGTTATTATATGTATATAATGTTAACGAGGTTTGTATTCTTTCATTTTTAATATAACTGCAGAATATCCGCGACCGGTCGATCAATTTTTAACATTGTAATATCTACCTGAAGTCCAAAATTATTAGTGCTATATCTTCCTCACAAATCAAACAGATATATAATAATATTGAACTTCAGGTAAATAGTACAACGGCAAAATGCAATTAACTAAGATTCTATTAAGATGCGATTATTATGTAAACATTAGTTGAATTGACATACGCGTTGGCTTACGCACAACGATCATTATTATACGTATTATTATTACCACTTACCACCATTATTATAAATGAGAGAGAAACATTGAAAAATTTTGATTAGCTGTACTGTAAATTTGGTAAAAATGATACAATTAACTTTATGTTATAGTTACGACTTACGATATTATACGTGGGAAGTGTCGATATATCAACACTAACCATTATTGGGGCGACGTTACGGTTTAAATTATCAGTCTCTAATTACGTGAATCGTTGACGTGAAACAATTCATGATACTTTCTGCATATTTCACACACACAAGGCGATATTTTAGTTTGAAAATGTTTCTTTAATTCTCTATCTACCAGTTTATTGTCGTAAATTGACTGCTGATCGATATAGCGACTTTCTAACAAGGATTTGTGTATTACGTCGTCTTCAAACGATGCGATCGGTTTCGTCTTAAATTTTTCTGATCCATTTTGAGACCTGGAAAAATTACGTTTGTTAAATACAAAAATGTATTTGATTTTTTAAAGTTAACTAGCTGACCCGGCGAACCGCCATATACGCGTTTTTTATAAATTATATATTTTTATTTAATTTTTTATATACCTTATCCTTACAATAAGGAACACGACACGACACAAAATGAAACCTAAAATTCATAATATTTCCTTTTATTTTCATAATTATGTTCTTTTACTAGACATAATTAATGAATATATTAGTCAGTTTGTAACTGAGAGCTATAAGCAACTTGTAGTTTATGATAGGTATAAGTCATCGCCCATCTCCATCTATCTCATTGGCAAGCAACATGTCGTCTCATTTTCTCTTTCGTCTTATAGTGTTAGAGGTCGGTACTAAAATGTGTAAAGCTTTCTAAAGCTTGATATTTCAGTATGTTGGTGTACCTAGTGTAAACATCACTCGGTATTCAGTGCGGGGGTCACGAAAAATCGTAACACATATTAAAGGAGCTTCTTAATACTTTACAATAAGCGAAAAAGTAGATTAAAAATAACACAATCGTGACACAGGGCGACTAAGCAAATCTCGAGAAATTGGTGTGAAAATGAGCTTCGAAAAAAGAGTATCGTAATGATATATTGAAAGTTAATTTATTTCTATATTTTTAGTTGTTACTTTATCATAAAAATCCTCAAGACTTTCAGACACACACATTCAGCGATCGTTAAAAATTTGTTCCGCTTGTACTGCTCGTATTCACTTGTTCTGATTTGTACTTTCGTTAATTTACTAGTACTAGTTTTTAGATATATATTTCTGAAGTTTATTGTTGCTAAAATGCAACATTTTAAATAAAACAAATATGTAATGTAATACATTGATTAATGTCCGAGGTTAGAGGCGCCATTTACCGATGTTTCAGGTCCACAACCTAGTTCGGTGATGGATGCTATCTATATTCAAGGTGTATTTTAAATAATTACTATATGAATATTTTTGATAAGCTTTGTATGTTTTTGTTTTTGATAACTTCGTTAATTTATGGTCAAATAAATATTATAATTATATATCTAAGTTTAGGAGAGCTCTTCATATTTTTGTTACGAGCTCTCTGTCTATTATACCCAGCCTTAACACTTACAACTCAAATTACTATAAGGAAACTACCATTATATATGAATAACGATAACCTGGCATATCCTTCGTTATCACTAATCTCGCTGCTTGCGTCACTACTTGGGCCGCTTGCCAGTCACCACAGTCTCCACGTTGTAAACATTGTATTCACACTTGTGACGGCTTTGACGACTTCGAGGGAGCGAAGCGCGGGACTTTTTGGGACTCGGAGGGCAATGCCTAAGAGTTAGTTAATATAATGGAATAAGGATTATGGATAAGGGGTGGAGATATGCAGTTAACAATAGCGAAATTTATTCAATTAATTTTAAACCTAAATAAAAGTTAAAATATATTTTAGAAATTAAATTTTAACGTAATTATGACGTTTCATAAATTTAAACACCTTTGAAGTGCCATTATTTTGAAATATAAACTACTTATCAATCTAAATGCCGATTAATCTTTAGCGCTAAAGTTTATGAATATTACCTTTTTGTAGGTGTTTTATTTTAACCATATTTGTTAATTTACGAAAAAAATGGAGCATACGATATAATAATAAAATGGCAAACTAACTTTTGGCATCCACATACGGTCTTCACTGGTTCCGGAGTGAGACTGCAGCAGGACCTGGAGGAGCCCTGGGACCGCGACCGGGACCTGGACCTGGACCGGGACACGGACGGGACCCGCTTGGTACATTTACTCCTGATCGAACATATCTCTTGTAGTAAAAGGAAATTTTATCGATTATGTATTGAATACATTTTTCATTGCAATAACTAACGACAGACATGTGTCTTATTTTGATATTGGTATTTTTATACAAAAAACTTAAAAACATGAAAGAAAACCGGCAAGGTTATCATGGAGAAAGCAAGAACGTACTGTAGCGACATCTAGTTTGATTTCGAGGAACTCATGTTTTTTTTAAATACTTCCTCATTAAGAAAGTAGTGGCTAGTTTGATTAATGTCAAAATCTCACATAACTTGGTTTAATTTACTCCACATCCTATATTCGTCTATAGTATTCGTGCTCTGATGCTCACCTGTGATACTGTGCAGAATGACAGACTTGCTTTTGCCGGGAGCCCTCAATGTCACGGGCGCAGTGACACGTTGTCACCCCCATCGCTTTAACGTTACATGGTTGCTCCCACACCTCGTCAATACGGACCTTTGTTGCTATCTCGATCTTTGGTGCTAGTATGCCCTATAGAAGTAACATTACTATGCAATAATAATGTGAATAGATAGATTATTCATTTATTTACATTATAAATCAGCATACTTGCATTATAAATTCTTTAAAACAATAAAAAAAATCCACTTCAACGTGTGCACCATAACAATGCAAAAGGGTAAAAGCTCAACGATCTCTTTGTTCAGGGAGCAAAGTGCTAATTATCAGCCTTTACCCATAGTACTAGCACGGTCTCAAACAATAGCGTCACTTTGATATGATAGTCTAATTAAAATTGGATTTAATTATTAAATGTCACAAGTATTATAATGGAATATAATAGTTCATTCAATTAATCAAAAATTCATTAAGGTTTAATGACGCCTTTAAGCTCATTGTCAATGATTGTCAAATTTGTATGGGTAATGTCGCTTTAAACTAATGAAACTTTTAATGTACCTTTGTGCAACTAGCTGATTATATATTGATTGTTACTATCAGAGATTATAAATGTCAGAACATGAAAAAACAGTATATAAGTATAAATCATAGAAAATCAATAAACAACACAATATACAGAGAATATTTATGTTCGTTTAACTAATTGTTTTATTTTATTAAAGGTAGCACCAGCAACCGTCATTATGCGTCGGCTGGAGTGTTTAGCTTGATTAGGTTGTGATATGAAACAAAATCTATATAGGTACCTACATTTACAAAGTTAAATTTAAAGAAAAATGTTTTGTTAATTGTGAATGTAAAATTAACTAAATACAATAATTTTAACTTGTTTTACAACTTGTTAACAAAGATTTAAACTTGTTATTTAATTTAAATTCTATAACATTTATTCAGTTGCTTACAGGGAACTCTTTAGCACGCCTCATTAATAAATCAACACCATCAGTGGAACACATGTTCGGTGGGAATAATACATCATTTAAGGCTCCTAGATACTGCGCCAGCACTGAACAGTTACCAGTGAAACAGTTGTCAGTCCATTGTACCAATTCACAGTATATTGTTTCGTCTTCTGTAAAAACGAATATTGCCAGGTTAATAATAAAGAATTATTTCTATAGCAAAGTTTCATATCCCTACCATAAAAAATGATGGATTTCAATAAAAACTACAAATGTCTATTTTACTCCCTTAGGGATAAAATTTCCGCAAACATTGAAACATCTGTTATTCTTGTTTTTTTTTTTTTCATTTATGTAAGGCTACAAACAATCACTTACATAAAGAAAATTATTATAAGAAAATTATTATAGCTTTTGATCTATTTTAAAAAATATATATTTTGAGTCCCTATATTTGAATTTTATGAATTAAAATTGAGAGAATAACAACATAAGAACAATTACTATGAACAACAAAACTGGGTGTACAATGAAACAAACAAAACAATAATCTTGTAAGCAGTACTTACTTAAAATACAGCAGATGTTGTTTAGTGCACATGATTCTTGAAATCTCTTACGAAAGTAAAACACATCTTTGAACATAAGTGGGAAGATTGGGGGCAACATGCACGTTTGATAACTTGTACCGAGTAGAAACACTGTGAGTGACACACGGCCATCCTGGCATAACCATACTCCCGGGCATGACACCTTAAAATATAATCATATCAGATTAACAATCATCTGAGTATTTACCATCTATAGACCGTTTCATATATCATTGGGTAAGACAATGTTTGTTAACAAATCTATTTCAAGCAATTTGTAATTCCAAAAATATTAACTATTTTTTATAATAATTGTTATAAAAATAAAAAATAGTTTGCCTGTGTATATATCAGATATTTATTCAAATTTGAATTTTAATACACAAATTAATTTTTAAAATCCATAATTACTGAAATCTAACCCTCAAAAGTTTTAAACATCATTATTTGTAATGAAAATAGCATCTTTAATACAATAATTTTAATCAAAATATGTAATCAGTAATCGTTTGTAATTTTTTAAAATATTGTTGTCGTAATAATTAAACTCTACTTCAATAAAATTTTGTATTTTCTGACACGGGTTCATCCTGTTGATGAATAAATATTTTTCTTAAATCCTATTTTTATATATCGATCTCAAAATTGATTTGTATAAATATTTTTTATTAATAAATAAAAAAGCCCATATTCTCTGACTTTCTACATTATATTTATGTGATTTAGTTTGTCCGCCAATAAAGGCCTCCTCCAGTTTAGCTCATTCTTCTCTATCTCTGGCTGCTTTTCTCCATCCTTTCGGTAGGTCATCTTCCCATCTCTTTATCCTCTTTTTTCGTTGTCCGTCTCAAGGGTAGCATATTGTGATATCTTTTGGCCATTTCAGTTCTGTTGATCTCATCATATGTCCTGTCCACTTCGAAGGTCTTCACTTTATGGATTACATCTACCACACTTGTCCTCCTCCTTAAATCCTGAAGACATAGCCTATCTCTTAAGTTTAACACCTAAGTTACTTCTTTCAATTCCTTGTTGACATAGTTTTAGTTTTGACACTGTGTAATTTGTGTCACATCCAAAGCTTAGCATGGGAAGTATACAGGTATTAAAAATTTTGCTTTATAGGGATACAGAAATGAATTACATTTCATTACTCATTTTAGAGACCAGTATCTTGACCATATATTGCACTCTTCTCTGTATTTCCTTCTGCATTTGCAAGTTTGGTGTTGTTACCTTTACCAGGTAAATATATTCATCCATATATTCAACTTCTTGCATTTCCACCATCAGCTTTATTTTTTCGAGCTATAAATAATATTATTACGACAACAATATTTCCACCATCAGCTTTATTTTTTCGAGCTATAATAATAATATTAGTCATTGCCTTAGTCTTGTTCAGGTCCATAGTGCAACTTTTGCACTTTCTGTTTTCAGTTTTATCAACATACTTTGAAGGGCAGTTGGGTCTTCAGCAAAATTACAAGGTCATCAGCAAACTGTAGATGGTGCATTTCATTCCAGTCTAGGTTTCTAAATATGTCCTCTAGAACAGCAGAGAAAAGTTTTGGGGACAGAGGATCACCTTGTTTTACACCTTTTTAACTTTGAACTCCGCACCAACCCTTTCTAGTTGCACTTTGGTTGTGCTTTGGTGGTATATCTGGTAAATGATTCTTGTGTATTTGTTATTAATACTTGTAATAAATATTTTTTATTACCACATCACTATAAACTTCAAATCCCAAACATCACCGTACCCATGCTATGTGAAAAAAACTATGATGATCATACTATTTTGGAAATCTGAATAGTTTTTTAAAACCAACAGGCACATGTTTCAATTGCAGCTCTTCGATCGTCTGACTGTAGGAACATACAAATATGATTTTAATTTGGTACGTTGGTTGGTGAGGAGGTTACTGCCTTATGTAACACTAATATGATACAAATACGAAACTATTGCAGTGCTCATTGACCATAAGAACATGATATTCTTTACTTAGTCATATTTATTGTAAGAATTTATCATTTACCTTTTGCACTTCCAGTTCAACTGTTAACTCGATGATTTTAGGCATAATGATCTTAGGAACATAGTTAATAACGTCAACAATATTAAGTTGTCACACTTTTAATATTTTTTCTTTTGATATACATTTTTCCGAAAGGGTATTTTTTATTTTTGGCCGTACGTGGGTAAAAGAACTTTGCTTAATTTTTGACGTGATACGCGTGTATGCAAGTAATTAAATCCTTCTTACTGATTGGTAATTATTATAATTAATCTATACTAATATTGCACTAATATAATTTCTTGGTAAATTAATAATTTTGTAAATGAAATCTGAATCAAATAAAAGCCCTCCCCCCCTTCTCCTGCTATCAAACATGCAGGTGTTGTCAGTTTAGTTGTCATAGCAACCTCATCGTTTTCATCCTTATAGTAGGTCAACCGAACCTCCGACATCAGAATAAGCCCTCCGACACTGTCAACTGTCAACCGCCTAGTTAGACGATTGTTGTTAACTTAATCCGCGATGACCTTCGACTTCGATCGCGCCGTTTAATAGTATAGCGACGTGAACGTCAAGAAGTTCTTTTGTGTGAATATGATTGTGTAGGCACGTGTACAAGGGCGTCACTATGGGAGGCAATTCCTCCCCAACAGATTCTAAAAAAGTAAAGCAATCAAAGTCCTTAGTTTTTGAGTTCATTTGCTTGATCGACTGTTCCCGTACGTCGAATCTTTAATAAACCTACCAATTCCTTTCTCTTTAGTTAAAATTGCTATTGTTAAAGTGGGAGAAGGGGAATGGCGTACATTCAAACTACTGATGAAAATTGACGCGACACTTTCCGTCTCTGAGGAAACTCTCCTGAAAACTTTCAAAACTTCCATATCGCTCATTTGCGACAAGAACGTGTTAACGCAAATATGTATCGTTATAGAATAATAATACAGTAGAATTCGGCGCATCGCGCTCTACTTGCTTCTAAAACGCGATATTTCTAGCGCCGAAAATGACCGAGTAATGAAGGAAAAGGATGGCGACTATCGGTGTAGCGCTATCTCCTTCCGCTCCTAAGTTCAATGCAAGATCGGTTCATGTCAGTTGTCGCCGCTCGCTTGAGGAGGAAAGTGCTGCCTGATTGCGGCAAAAATGTAACAGCTCATGGTGTCACGGTTTTGATGAAAAGGTAAATACAGCTTTTTGTTTTTTTAGTGATTTATGTTTGCAGCTATAACGGGACATTTTTAAGTACATAATGTTTGGTACTAATGTTGGTTATCTCAAATTAATACTTTCTTGATAAAAAATAATACATTTTTGCAACGAATAGCTTACAATGTTGCATTATAAACAGAGATCGGAATTAGGTAGAGTTATTTATGTACTTGCATCGAAATGTTGATATTAATGTGGACCTTCGTGGCAACATCGCGCGTATTGGTATTTTGCAACTTTGGACATCCGATGTCATTGATGTAAGTTTGGCAACGTCGTGCGTGCAGTAGTTTCAATTGTGTAAAAGTAAATAACTTTTTATTTAAAAAATCACGGGATTTTTTCTGCTCTTTAAAATTAATCTCGGGATTTGAGGCATTTCCACTTTATTCATTCGCTGTATGAAATTAGAGTAAGTACATGATAAAAATATTGTCTAATTATAATTTATTTTTCAGATGGACGGTGTAGGAAGATTGTAAATCTTGTACGAGGAATTAATGAACATTCACGTAAGTTAGAAAAATGAAAAGATAATACTGATGAGACAATAGCTCCAATCCTAGCTTATATATTTAATGAATGTACTGATTGTGGTATTTTTCCTGAGCTCATGAAAATAAGTAAAATTATTCGTTTACATAAATCGTGTAGCACATCTGACCCAACTAACTTTAGACCTATATCCGTGCTACCTACATTTAGTAAGATTTTTGAAAAAATCATGCTGGATAAAATACAAACATACTTTATATGAATAAGCTTATGAAACGACAACAATTTGGTTTTACAAGGGGTCGCTCAACAACCGAAGCCGGTGTCGAGTTAATACAAGAAATTTTTAATGCCTGGGAGGATTCACATGATGCGTTAGGTGTTTTGTGTGACCTATCTAAGGCATTTCATTATGTTTTTCATGAAACATTGATCAGGAAACTTCATTTTTCATTTTTAAGGATTTAGAGATAACTCATTGGATTTTATTGTCTCGTACTTGACTGACAGAGTACAAAGGGTTGATACCAATGGCAAAAGATCCCCTGGATCGAAGTTAAGATGGGTGTTCCGCGGGGCTCAATACTTAGTCCTTTCTTGTTTTTGATTTATATAAATGACTTGCCTTATTTCGTAAGGGATGATCACGAAATAGTTTTGTTTGCGGATGACACTTCACTTTTGTTTAAAATTAAAAGAGGGTTACCTCTAAATGACGATGTGAACAATTCTATTGCTAAAGTAGTACATTGGTTTAATGTAAATAATCTTCTTCTTAGTGAAGGAAAACAAAATGCCTAAAATTTGTACTACCTAATGTTAAAAAAGTAGATATAAATGTTAATATAAAAAATAAGAACATGGGCCTTGAGGATACCAAAGTATTTTTAGGAATAACATTAGATTTTAAACTATAGTGGGGCCCATATCGCACACCTAGATCTAAACTGAGACAACTCAAAAATCGTGAGTTTTGAGTTAGTATAATATTCGGATACTCTGAGATCGTACGCATCTATCCAACATAACAGGTTTAATAAAGGTTCCACGGATGAGCCGCTAGATGGCTTTAGCTTCCTTTTGTTGAATCAACGCTTGTCGCGCACCTCCCCCCTAAACCAATGCATTGTCAGTTGCCGTTCACTAGTCTCAGGGTGTGCACGTATTTTTTAACGAAATTGCGGACATCTCGAATTGTTACAGTTTTGTTGAAAATTATACATTAGTTAATTTGAGTTATTACTGTATTGGTGAATTGTTTCGCCTTAATACTTCTGGATATTTTAACTTGTTCCAGTTTTGTTTGATAAGGTAAGTAAACATTTTGTCGTTATTTTGTATTGACTTTGTTTTGATGGATCAACATGTAAATTTCTAGTTAACTTACTTTTCGTGGAACAAATTTATTTTAATGATTTTTAATATCAAACATGACATTTTGCAAGTGTTGCTTAAAAAATCATGTACTTTATGTCATATCTTTTGAAAAGTTATTCTGTTTTCATTCAAACTATGTCCCACTTTATCTAAAAAAAACTTTTTTGAGTTATCTCGCTATTGTTGGTTACGTAAAAATGACTAAAGACGCTTTTCACTTTTTAGAAAAAATGAAGAGAGGCCGTCTTCTTGTTAATATTATAAAAGAACGAAACAAGGAGAATCCAGTGACAGCTAAAGAAAAAGAGTCAGCGACGTCTCTGAATATAGAAGCACAAGAAGAAAATAAAGAAAACAGCCCAACAAACAATTCCATGCTATCTAAACCATGCCACAGCCGGCAAATCGATAATGATTTAGTTATTTCGACAAGTGAAGAAAGTTTTATTGATGACTCTGATACTGATCCAAGCTATGTTCGGCAAAAAAAGAAGAACTTGCGCCCTAAAGTAGTTCCTGAATCTTCTTTTTCTTCCTCAAGTGATAGCAGTATACCCCACACATCGGTTTCTAGTAGTAGTTCTGATTCTGAAATTGAAACCACGGCTATTACCGAGACTGTTACACAAACTCGAAGGCAAGACATAAGTAATGAAGAACGTAATGATCAGTCCAATGAAGAAGCAAAAAAAGGAAAGAAGAGGCTAAGAAGAGAATCGGAATGGAAAGCTAATAAATGTAAATTCCTAAGGAATTCAGGTAAGGCTTATCAGTCTATGTCAAAAACAAAGAAAATTGTTTCTGGTAGGAAGATTCGCACGGCTTGTGGCGAAAAATGCAGACAACGTTGTATTACGAAGATAAACGAAGAAACAAGACAAATCCTATTTGATGCTTACTGGGGCCTAGCTAATCTTCAAAAGCAGAGGGAGTATGTAGTAAGGCATACTCGAGAAATTAAACCAAAATACAGGTATTCTAGCACACAGGAATATAGAAGTCTTAATAGAGCCTTCTACTTTGAAGTTGCTGGGAATAACATTAGAGTATGTAAAGCTTTTTTTAAGAATACACTTGATTTGAGTAATACAGCCATTACAACTGCACTTTCCAAAAAAAATACTTCCGGTATTATAGCCAATGATTTAAGAGGGAAACACGGTAATCAACCCAAAATTGATGCTGAAATTAAAGATAGTGTTGTCGAATTTATTAATACTATTCCCAGGATTGAGTCTCATTACTTGAGAGCGCAGACATCACGGGAATTTATTTGTAGTGACAAATCACTTGCTGACTTATACCGTGACTATAAAGAAGCTCGTGAACACAAACAATTACCTTTCGCTACGAAATCAACATTTAACAGGATATTCAATACAGAATTCAATATTTCGTTTTTTATGCCGAAAAAGGACCTTTGCGACCTTTGTGAGGGCTTTAAAAATGCCAAAGAGGAAGAGAAATTGAAAATACGAGAAAATTATGAACAACATCTTATAGAAAAAAAAATTGCAAGGGACCATAAAGAAAGAGACAAGAATAGAAATGACGGAGTAATTACAGCTGTATATGATTTACAAGCTGTTATGCAAGTCCCGAAGGGTCAAATCTCATTATTTTTCTATAAATCTAGAATCAATTGTTTTAATTTTACCATAAGTGATTTGAGGGCAAAAGATGTAATATGTTATTTTTGGGATGAGACGGAAGGTAAAAGGGGCGCTGTAGAAATAGGCTCATGTGTTCTTAAGTATGTTGACACTTTATTAGAAAAGCATCCTGACAAAGATATTGATATTATCTTTTATTCGGACAATTGTTGTGGACAACAAAAAAATAAGTTTTTACTTTCTGTTTATGCGTATGTCGTTGCTACTAAAAGAGTAAAGTCTATAACGCACAAATTTCTTATACGTGGTCATTCTCAAAATGAGGGCGACAACGTTCATAGTGTAATAGAAAAGCAAATTAAAAGGCATATTAGATCTGGTCCAATATACACTCCGCAACAATATTGCACTTTAATTCGTACAGCAAAAAAGTCGGGTAGTCCTTACCAAGTGGAAGAGATGACATTTGGAAAGTTTTATGATACTAAAATCTTGCAAGAAGAGTGGGGTACCAATTTCACTTTAGATGAAGACCGTAATCAAGTTAAATGGCACGATATTAAAATCTTACGAGTGGAAAAGGACAACCCGGGAGCATTCTTTTATAAAACCTCATTTGCAGATGATGATTATAAAAAAGTATCAGTGCGCAAACGCAGAACTGGTCAGATAATATTTACGGGACTTAGACAAGCCTATACACAAAAAATACCCCTCCCCGAGACAAAAATAAGAGACCTTACAGATCTTATAAGAAAACATGCTATACCACAGTCATACGTAGATTCATATTTTAAAAATGTAATGGGTAATATTTGACTGTTTTAAAACTAATGCGCTTTTTAAGTGTCTATTACAAAAAAATATTTCTTTCTTATTTTTGTTCATTTGTAATATTTCATTGTCCTGTCGATTATTTACTTATAATAAGAGACTGGATTGTTATTGGGTATAACAATTATAATATAAATGACCCTAATTCAAATGTTGATCTCATAAGAGCAATACCAAAATTATTCTAAGAAGTTTATTTAAGAATTAATACTAATTTTATGTTTGTTAAGTAAAAAATCTTATAAGTCTAAGAAGCTGTTGTTTAGAATGTTTATTTTTTCTGTGGTATTACCATTTCCAGACTGATATTTTGTGATATATTGTTATAATTTACTACATAATAATATCTCTTGATTAAGAAACTATAAGGCTAAATAACCACAATATTTAAAACACAAATATTTATTTTAACATTTAAAAATTGATATTTTGTTAATTACTATTAATTGAGATTTTTTTTTTAGTTGTGATTAGCATTACGTATATAAAAATAATTTACTTAATGAAAGAACAAAGTATAACTCGTTTGATCAATGTTTTGTGTTTTGTCAATCATTTAGTATGGTTTTGTTTCAAGAATTATTTGTTTTTTTTTGTTCAAAAAAAGGTTTAACTCAAAATGTTCAATGAAAACTGTTTCAAGTCTAAATATGGTTTAATTTTTGTACCTAGTCCTTATTCTAAAGTGTAACAACTCAAAAAATAGCAAAAATCACTTAAAAGGATTAATTTTCAGACCCAATTTATATACAGTACCAATTCACTACCTTTTTATGATCTTAAATAGAATTGAGTTTAATAAGTTTCTTAACAAAAAACGTAGCTATACGTTTTTTTCTTCTCCTGAAAAATAAGGTTTTTTGAGTTGTTTCAGTTTAGATCTAGGTGTGCGATATATTGATAAATTGTCGAGTAGACTTAGCTCTACAGCATATGCCGTAATGAAAATACGTAGGTTAACTGACATAGATACTGCCAGATTAGTATACTTCAGTTACTTTCATAGTGTAATGTCGTACGGAATCCTATTGTGGGGAATTGCTGCCAACATATAAACAATTTTTGTGCTTCAGAAAAGACCAATTAGATCAATTTATAATCTTAGGATTAGGGACTCTTTAAGGGAGAAATTTAAGGAAATAGACATTATGACTGTTGCTACTCAATAATGAATGTACGTTCGTAAAAATATTAGTTTGTTTTCTATAAAAAGTGATGTACACGATTTTAATACAAGAAATAAAAATAAATTAACGGTGCCTGTCACTAGACTGCAAAAAGTTAATAACTCATTCAAGGGTCTTTGTGTGCGCTTCTACAATAAGGTCCCAAGCAAAATACAACAATTAGATATCATGCAGTTTAAATTGACTATTAAAAAAATACTTATTAAAAAAGTTTATTATAAGGTATCCGATTATACAATAGATAAAATCGCTGGGACTTGAGATGATCCAGTAACTGGATAGGTGATTACTTCTAAACTCATTATCTTGTTTCCACTATTATTAAATGATTATATTATCATTATAAGACCATAGTTTTTTTTCTCTCTCTGTTTATAATGTATTGATCTGGTAATAACATGGTTTTTGTATATGTCATTACCAGAGGTCGGAATTAGGTAGAGTTATTTATGTACTTGCATCGAAATGTTGATATTAATGTGGACCTTTCCGGGATTTCTTTATTTCTTTCTTTCATTGATGTAAGTTTGGCAACGTCGTGCGTGCAGTAGTTTAAATTGGGTAAAAGTAAATAACTTTTTATTTAAAAAATCAAGGGAATTTTTCTGCTCTTTAAAATTAATCTCGGGATTTGAGGCATATCCACTTTCTTCTTTCGCTGTATGAAATCAGTGTAAGTACATGAATAACTCTACCTAATTCCGACCACTGGTCATTACTCTTATTAGAGCTGGTGAGTTTCTTGCTCGTTCTTCTTATCAGCCAAAAGACGTCTTGAACGGGTGATAGGGAAAAAAAAATTTGGACGATTCAAAAGTACATTTAAGAAGTTTTAAATTTTTATCCAACACTTTTCTCGGGTGCGCCCATACGATATCTCACTCTCGACCCGAGAAACTGACAAAGGAGTGTAGACAAAGCGTTTCTCGAGTTTGTCATGCTACGCGTGCAGACTCATTTCCTAAACTGTCGATCAATCATGGAGTAAAGCCACAAGTTATAGACTGGATCATGAACATGCTACACAGCAGGATAGTTCAGGTGGCAGGAGGCGAGGGGATGCCCCCAGTGCCGGTTTTAGCACTACTGGCGCCCTGGGCGAAATTTCTTCGGCGCCCTCTATCTGCAATTCAATTACAATCAGTTACTACTACATACTACAAATCAGTTACTTGTCTTTTTTTCGCCGACCCGGCCTACTTACTTGTAATCTTCCCTAAATTTAGGTAGATTGTTAAGTTGGCAGCACTAGAATGGCAAGTAGTGTTCAATCGGTTTAATTTCTCGGGAATCCCCGACTTTCCGACCATACAGAAACAATGTGTTTTTCATTGTGTTTTAAAAACGCTTGGACTTGAGATGATCCAGCAACTGGATAGGTGATTACTTCTAAACTCATTATCTTGTTTCCATTATTATTAAATGATTATGTTATCATTATAAGACCATAGTTTTTTTTTTCTATCTCTGTTTATAATGTACTAGTGGACGCCCGCGACTTCGTCCGCGTGGAAGTCGGTATCCCGTGGGAGTGAGAAGTTTTCCCAGTAAAAAGTACCCTATGTGTTATTCTGATGTATAACCTATATTGCTGTAAAGTTTTATCCAAATCCGTCCAGTAGTTTTTTCGTGAAAGAGTAACAAACATCCATACATCCATACTTACAAACTTTCGCCTTTATAATATTAATAGGATTGATCTGTTAATGACATGGTTTTTGTAAATGTCATTACTCTTATTAGAGCTGGTGAGTTTCTTGCTCGTTCTTCTTATCAGCCAAAAGACGTCCTGAACGAGTGGTAGGGAAAAAAATGTTGGACGATTCAAAAGTACTTTTAAGAAGTCTATTTGAATTAAAATTATTATGACTTTCTTATAATCGGGTATTTCCTAGATCTATCTCTTTTAATTTTTGACGAAGAAGAACACAATCAACAATTATCTTCTTGCTTGACATAAGTGGACGCTCTTAAAACAATTATTCGATTATTTTAAAACAAACAAACACAGTAATCAAACGTTTAACGCTACGTTACGATGTTCTTGTTTTGACATATAAATAGCCTATAAGTAGCTGATTCATTTTTGACGGATCACATCATTAGGTAAGTACAGATTCAATTTTAGCCTAACAGGGTGTCACATAATTGTTATCTATAACTTTGTGTAATTGTTGTAACTTTGTGACAGTGAGTTTGCAGTGGGCCACTACTTATTATATAATCAAAATAATCACTACTTATTATATAAAAAAAATAATGCTATTTCTAATAAGTGGACAAGTAGCTGGATCCGCTATATTCGAGACAACAGTATCAAAATCATCTAGTACATGTATTTGTTGTACATCAATAACAGATTTATCCTGAGCAGCATCTGTAATCATAGCACAACTTGCTCCCTTACTTCGGGATTTTTCATCCACAATCTCTTGAGCAGCTATTCCATCTGACTTGCTAGACAGAGGCTCCACTGCCGATGCATTCGTTTGTATTGCAGCATTTTAGCTTCAGCTTAACGTTTAAACATGCTTAAACGAAAATTTTCTTAAATGACCGAGCGATAATGCCCGCCAACTTTTGTCATATTACCTAATAAAATACAATCTTCATATTGGTAATCGGTATGTTGTTCTGTTTTGCCATAATATAATATTCATGCTGAAAGTGAGGCAACTTGAAAATAAAAAAAAATCCTCAAGGTTCTTGTTCTTTTTTCGCCGACCCAGTAGGCCTTATTCAATGAGCAAGGGAACTATAAGAGGGTGTCTGTGGGAAATGAGGAAGTATTAGAAAAAAAAACGTTAGTTCCCGAAATCAAACTAGATGTCGCTACGGTATGTTCTTGATTTCTCCATGACAACCCTTCCAATTTTCTTTCATGTTTAAAAGTAAATTAGTTTTCAAAACTCAATTAACAACTCATATTCTATTGTACTTTTTCGTATTTGTATTGATATCTAAGTTTCGAACTTTTCAAATTTCAGTTTTTTAATATGTTAGTTAAAATGAACAGAAATGACTGTCTTTGTTCTATTCGTTCCCTCCAAAAATCAACTTTTGCTAGAGTCGCTATTTTTGTAGTGCTTTCGTTTTTTTAAAATACTTCCTCATTATATAGAATCAGAAAGAAACGCCGGACGGTCGCCCAACCGCGCCCTACCCTAACGCCGCTACTGGATGCCCCCAAACTCCTGAATGCTAACCACTTCTACACCATAGGAAATGCCGATGATATCACAGTATTAACACAGTGGCCAACTATCGGGCTAAGCACCTCGGCTCGCCGGGTAACCTCCAGAAGTTCATCGCTACGAGCTGCTGTGAAGGCGCTAGGAGCGTTTCTGGCAGTGCTGGGCTGGCTGGAGTAATATCTGGCGACAAACCCTCTACACGCAAAATAGACGTCGAGTTGCGGAGGCGCCCGTGGAAGGAAGAAGAAGAAGGCCTACAAAGCTTCGATCATGGTGATCTTGTTTGGTCGAAAAAGGTCGACGTCGAGGCGAGGCGTATCATATCAGAATCATTCACATGGTTGCCAACCAAACGTTATTTTTTAGTGAAACCATAATTAAAACTTGGCTTTACGTCTTAGAACCTTTTGTTTTAATTTTTATAATTAAAAAAAATAATGTCACATTTTTGTTAGTTACAAGCGTTACAAGTTTTGTGATAATATTGGTCTTTCATTCGTTCCGTTTTTATTTTACATTAGAAATCTTTGATAAAATTTCTTTGATTAATTTCTTTTTGCAATTGTTGTATTTTTTGTTTTTGATGTTATTGGTTTTTTATTTTTAACGGCCTGGGCTTTACTAATAATGTTAATGGTTTATTGTGGTTATAGGAAAGTAACCACAGTGGTAACATAAATCACATCTGCTGGTTATTCATTAGTCTTTGGAAATGGCATCTGTTGTTCATTGGTTTCGTCTAGACTTACGAATTCATGACAACCTTGCACTACGAAACGCTATAAATGAGGTAAATATTAATTTATAAATAAACTAGTACCTACCTACAAAATTTCATAAACTACTATAAATTTAAGTAATGATGTACGTATTTAATTTTCCAGGCGGAAAATCGCAAATATTTGTTAAGACCCGTATTTATTATCGATACAGATATCAAGCAGAAAATTGGCGCAAATAGATTACGATTTTTAATACAAAGCCTTCAAGATTTGGATATTAACTTAAGAAAACTTAACTCACGCTTATTTATTTTGAGAGGCAATGCCAAAGAACTGTTTTCTAAGTTATTTGATGAATGGCAAGTGAAATATTTAACAACCCAAGTTGATATTGATCCTGAAATTGTACAACAAGACGAAATCATTGAAAAACTCGCAGAAAGCAAAGATATATATATTGTGAGAAGAGTGCAACATACAGTATATGACGTTCATAGTGTATTAAAGAAAAATAATGGTAATGTGCCTTTAACTTATCAGAAGTTCCTGTCTTTGGTGAATGATATAAATGTGAAAGACACCATTGAAATAACTAAAACCTTGTCTGATCATTGCAAACCATCTGATTTGGAATCAAATAATTATAATGTGCCTACACTTCAGGAACTAGGAATAGATGAAAGTTCACTAAATCCATGTAAATATCCTGGAGGTGAAATAGAAGGTCTTAAAAGGCTTCATTTGTACATGGCTAAAAAACAATGGGTATGTAAGTTTGAGAAACCTAATACTTCACCAAACAGTATTGAACCCAGCACAACAGTTTTGAGTCCATATTTGAGCCATGGATGTTTATCTTCAAAACTATTTTATCATAAACTTAAGCAAGTAGAAAATGGAGTGCCACACTCACAACCTCCAGTATCATTGTTGGGTCAGTTGATGTGGAGAGAGTTTTATTACACAGCAGGAGCTGGAACAGAAAACTTTGATAAAATGGTTGGTAATCCAGTTTGTACTCAAATACCTTGGGTTAAAAATGAAAATTATTTAAAAGCTTGGGCAGAAGGTAGGACAGGTTATCCATTTGTAGATGCTATTATGAGACAACTTAAACAAGAGGGTTGGATTCACCACCTTGCAAGACACATGGTGGCTTGTTTTCTAACCAGAGGTGATTTGTGGATATCATGGGAGGAAGGAGCCAAAGTCTTTGAAGATTATTTACTTGACTATGATTGGTCTCTCAATGCTGGTAATTGGATGTGGCTATCTGCATCTGCATTCTTCTATAAATACTTTAGGGTATATAGCCCAGTAGCATTCGGAAAGAAAACAGATAAGGAAGGTCTTTATATCAGGAAATATGTTCCAGAGCTTAAGAAATATCCAACAGAATTTATTTATGAACCTTGGAAAGCCCCAAAGTCAGTGCAAAAGACGGCTGGTTGTATTATTGGTGAAGATTACCCTCAAAGAGTAGTAGATCATGATAAAATCCACAAAGAAAATATGCAGAAGATGTCTGCAGCATACAAAAACAACAAAGAAAAGAAATCACTTAAAAGAAAATTGAGTACAAACTAAAGTCTGTGAAATATTCCTTTGCTAGTAAGATGTATAATTGGTTGAATAACCTATGTGTGATAAATAATAAGTACAAAGTAAGATTAATATATTTTTTTAATATTCTACAAATAAAATAGTATTGTATAAATTATGGAGGCTAATTTAATATGAAAAGCTAATAACGCTATGTTTTTTATGGTGCTAGTTAATTTGGTAGGGCTTATCACAGCTGCCACACTTGGTTGTCGTGACTTAGATTAATAAAATCGGTAAATCTATGACTACGGTATTGAATATATTTTAATCCAAAAAATCATATTCCTGAATTATGAAAAAGATCATAGAAGTATTAATGTCTCCACTGGTTGGGCTCAGGCCTCCTATGGATGTAATTGAATCGAATTGAATAGGAAGAATGTTCCATGACATGACTGACCACGCAGGGCCAGTATGTATTGGTGGGTATTAACAACTGAATATGCAGCTGGCACCAACAGCTTAACATGCCTTCCGTAGCACGGAGGAGCTCGCGATAATAATTAGCTTTTCAGATTAACTACCTGTCATTCGTGTTGTTTTATTTGAATGTGTGAAAATTAATAAAGCATTATTAAAATAATGTTTGGTTTAAGAATGAAAAATAAATTCAATCTTTTGAAGTTTTCTGATTTATTTGTTTAAACTGTCTTGTACGGATTTTTCCCGTCGTATCTATAGATTTCTAGGCCCCTCCAGTTTGTCAACACTTTCATGTTGATGTCGTTCATTGACATGTTTAAGGATACGCAAAATTTTAAAAGTATCGATTCTTTACTGGTTGCTAGTACAAAATATCGTCTTATAAGATTCGATACCTGACGATATTGAGTACTTTATAGATATTTATAGGTAACAGAACAGGCTACCAGTTTTTTCTGTTAAGTTTTGCAAATAAAACTAGCTTTTGGCTAGAAAGTATCTGAAACACAAAATTTATTTATTGCCCTAAATATTGCATACCAGTCGTGTCCAAAGATTGACTCTACTGATAACACTGCCCAATTATCTACTTCATTAAAGTTTCTAAGAATATTTTTATCACGTTTAACATATTTTGGTGTAATCATTTTAAAAATATAACTCTTATATTTGTATAGCAGCTCTAGTTTATAAGGTTTTTCAAACTACCCTTATTTTAGGTGACAGCGCATAATCAGTGAGTTTCAAGTTAGGTTACTCTTATTAGAGCTGGTGAGTTTCTTGCTCGTTCTTCTTATCAGCCAAAAGACGTCCTAAACGAGTGGTAGGGAAAAAATGTTGGACGATTCAAAAGTACTTTTAAGAAGTCTATTTGAATAAAGATTATTTTGACTTTTGACTTTCAACTGGTGTACTATTAATTTTTTCCCAATAATAAACGATGGTTACGAAGTAGAGACATTGTTTAAATGATCCAGTCGGGTTATGTGTTATTTGTTAAATCTGTGTATTTTAACTACTTAATGAAACAGTGAATGAGATGCAACTTATTTATAATAAATACAAAACACGGATTTTTATTTTCGCATCAGTTTTTGATGAATTTTCTATTTGTAAAACAATAAATTATTAATCGAAAATTTATTTTCCATTTTGCATTCAGTTCATTTTATTATAAACATATTTTTTTCAAAAAAACATTAGGTTTAAAACCAATAATTTTTTATAACATTTTTACAGTATTAGTTACGTTTTCTCTCCATTTTATCTACGATTTTTATTTAAATAGGTTTATATTCTTAATGAGAAATTCTTAAAAAATCCACCAGCCTCAGGTACTTTGAGATGGGCTTGAATCCACGACCATTTCCGATCAGATCTAAATACTGAGCTGCCTAGGACCTAACAGGACTGACAAATTTTTCAAACACTTGTAACTTTCGATACTAGTGATCAAATATAATAATTATTTTTTTTAAATATTAGGTTTTTTTTCGATTATGTTTATTTATTTACCAATAAATATGGGGATCGATTTCTGTAGGTAACGATTCTTTTTGCGCAACCCTAGTTATGTCATTTCATGGCAGTGTCGGTGAATGTCAATAAATTGAAAGAAAAATACATATTTTTTTTGCAATAATTTTTTTGAAGATATTAATTACTTATTCAATAACTCTTTAATTTAGCAAAAAAGACTGAATGATACGTTAAAGTATGTGGCTGAATTTAAAAGAAATTTTGTGGTTTTTGAAGTGCCCAGCCCTTCATTTTGTCTTCTAAAAACAGTAAAATTTTTGAGGTGCTCGTATATTCAAAATTACTTGTTTACAATATGATTCTTGTTACGTAAGTTATATGTAAAATAATACTGATTTTATTATTTTTGTGTTGCCTCACACAACCTCTGAATATTTCTATGGAGCAGTTTATTTATTTGTAGGTTCAGTTGTTTAGCTTGCAAATAATTGATACATTGATGCCAATTATATTGTACCATTCTTAGAACTAAATCATCTCTAATCTCTTTATCTTGAAATATAATTACACTCCTGTATATCATAATATAATAAGTTTATGTCTGTTAGTTTTCACAATTAAAATTGCAGTTTGACAGGACTTAATCTAATTTTAGTGTAGTACATTCACTATTAATAGCATAACTTATAAAAAGAGTAAAAAATTTGGTATAATATACTTTTATAATTCTGATAAAAATGTTCATGAAACTTTCAACTTGAAACACATTTAGTTAAGTTTACTTAAAGAAATTTGCAAAATACTTAGGTACTGTAGTTGACATTCTAAAGTAAGTAGTTCAAATATAATAAAGACCTTATTGTCTTTAAAGTGGTAAATTAGGGATCAGCTAAGCTGACTAGCATTTCATTTTTTGCAAGGTTGTGTGCCAAGAAATGGTGAAAATTATGTCTTATAATTAAATCAAGGTTACCACACTAATGACAATATAGTCATTTGAGAAACAGGAACCAAATTAAGTAGAAATTCCCGATATATTTGTAAATTCTGTCTGTCGTTTGCTGACCAACAATTATGCGACACTTCTTCCATCAGATATGCACTGACTCTTAATAAGTGTAATATTAACTGTCCTTAAATTCAATATGGGTTTGCATCTGTTTCTAGTCACATAGAATCAAATTCTATTTAATTGTAAATACGTTTATATTTATAGAAACACTTTGTAAGATAAGTGGAATTGCAAATTGAATGTCGTAATTGATTATTTAATGTGTGACCTATCATTGTTCACATATTGCGTGTATCTCATTTGCATTGTTTGAAAAGAAATGTAGCATATATACTGTTTATTTTGTATATATTAACCTCAGGGTTTGTTAAACTTTGTGGAATAGAACAAAAAAAAATTGAATGGGTAAGGGTACTTTCCATTGACTTAGTAAAAGTTTTGGATGTTATTCTCAACTGATCTTTGAAGACAATGCTGTGGCAAGCCATTAGTAGATGTATGCTGGCGTTGAATAAAAAATATGAGGTTTTCAAATTCTTTTTCACAGTTTTTAAGTTTCTTAAGGGACATTAGAAAAATGTTTTATATATGAGTATAATTTCTTATTATCCAAAAAAATAGTATGCGTAATCAATAAATTATGGTTATGTTACGCTTTTATACATTTTCTACAAAACTGTGACTTAGCAAGTCTATCATCTAAACTATTTCTTGATTAATTTAAAGCAAAAATATACATATCTATTATTCTATATTTTTCTATTTTCTGACTGAAGAACTTATTAGAATTTCTTTTTTTTTTCCCAGTCATCATCCCTATTAATGAGATGAGTGTTGATTAGAGAATATGATTGATTACAATCAAATAATTGTAGTACCATAACCTATTTAATTTACTTATATACCTACAACAATTTGATATATAACAATTTTTATTATTTCTAGGGTCAAAGATATGGAGCCACGTCAACAATATTCAGACCTTGTACTTTGGAGATCTACCCCAATGAATATAAAGAAGTAATGGTGGCTTTGATAAGCGTAAGTTTTAATCAAGAACAATTTAAACTACCATGCCGGTCATAAACTAACACCTCACCTTTCCATTATTAAAATTGTATATAAAATGATTACTTAAGAAAAAATATATATATATATATATATATATATATATACGGCCGGTTTCTGAATTGAGAAAAGCACTAAATCTCAACTGATTATTCTCAATAACTTTAGTTTTTAACGTTTCATATGACAAATAGTCCTAGTTTTATCAAATTAACTGATATTAACTGATCATTAAAAAATTATAAATCAGCAATGAAAACTGTTTGATTAATGTTTATAATGGCTTCAGCATGGTTCGAGACGTGCGTGAACTTCAAATTCTCAATTCAGAAACCGGGTGATAGAAATCTACTGGCATACTACCATTAGCTTCGACTGCGTTGTCTTGTATTATATCTTCTTATAAACCTTATTGAATCCCTATTTATATTGATGAAAATTGCATTGAAATCTGTTGCATACTTTAAATCTCATATCTCAGTGTACACACAGCGGGAAGCGATTTTCTTTTTACTGTTTATAGAATTGCTTAATATTTTACACAATTCCTTTTGCAACATATTAATTTACCTAAGGTGTTCATGCTTTACAACAGGGGTGGGCAAACGGTCGATCGCGATCGACCGGTCGATCGCAAGGGAATCTATGGTCGATCGCATTCCTAAAAATGTACTGACGTGTTGGGCTAATTCCAATAACAGTGGTCTTTTCACCAGTCAAAATACCAGTATCTAAAGTGCGTTCATAAAAAACATTTTATTTTACACGCGCGTAACTTTAAGAAGAAAATACTTGTCAACAAACAACCTTTCACTGCGAAAATGTCGATATGAAATAAGAAGGCACCAGATTTATTTGCGGCTGTACTGTGCACGTGTGCCGGTGTCGGCTCGTTAAACGGCGCGGCGGCGTCCTTTGACCTGTGCGGGCGGCGAATTAGCTTTATGCTTGCCGCCCGATTTACTTTGCTTTGACAATTGCCGACGGCCGGCACGTGTTCGCCAGTCTCGCACAGATTTTGGTTTCGGTGAGACGTCATGTCGTGATTCTGGATTCTGTACTTGTTTATGTTTCCCAATAACTTTCGTGATCGTGTGACTTCGTGCTGCTCATGAATATATTTTGTACTGAGGGTAACTAAAGGAGAGAGTGAAG